AGGGCTGGTTTGGATCCCTGCTCAACCACTCCTCAAATGGAATGAACTTGGGGAAGGTCAGCCATGCTACCCTGTTTTGATTCTCAGTTTCCCCACTGTAACCTTAAGAAACAGCTGGGCGATTAAATGAGTTCATGTCCATACTTCCAGGCACATGGGAAGCGTTTCGTAAGTGGCAACTATCTTTTTATTATTATTGTATCACCGTCACCACCACGGGTTTGGTAAATGGGCACGGATTGAAGCCAACATTCTTACTAAAGGGCAAGCAAAAGGAACAAAGGTAAGGATACAGGAAGGAACTAGACATTTTACTTACAGAATAAGGAGAACTTTACTGAACCAGAATAGAAAGCAGTTGTTCAGATGTATAGGGAAAGAAGATTAAGAGGATAAGCCCAGATGATAGGGAAAATCTTTTGTAACCTATTATAATTTTAGAAGGAGCCCTAGTGGCACAACCATTAAATGCATGGCTGCTCAATGAAAAGCTAATGCTTCACACCTTCCCAGTAGCTCTTCTGAAGAGAGACCTGGCAATCTGCTTCCATAAAGATTGTTGTTATTAAGTGCCATAGAGTCGATTCCAACTCATAGTGACCCGGTGTAGGGTTTCCAAGGAGCAGCTGGAAACCACCAGCTTTTCAGCTGTCAGTCCAGTACTTATCTGTCAGTACCACACCAGGGTGAAAACCCTATGGGGCTATTCTACTCTGTCGTATGAGGACACTTGGAATCAGAATTGAATTGATAACACCTAACAACAGCAACAGCATAACTTAGGATAATGTCTGAACCTCTGTAGTTCTGTGTTGGGAAAATAAGTGTGTTGAAAAGTCCTGAAGAGTGATGTCTGTGTGGAACTACTAGGACATAAGCTCAAACAATTATTTTTTTAATTGATTAGATTGTAACTTAGAAAGTAAAACGGATTCTTCTCTCTGTGTTTGTATCACATTCAGCTTTTTTAATACAGTGGTTCCAAAACATAAGTGAAACCCACAACAGTACGCTTGAACTGTTTCTAGGAACCTGTCTTATTGAGTGCCCCAATGTTTCTATAGACTTTTAATAGATTTATTGTAGAGTATCTTCTTCTTCCTCTTGAACTCGTACTCACATAATCATCAACTGATAGGCATAGCATGACAGGGAAAGGTAGGTTTTGATTCTAAGAAGAACGAGATTGGTGAAAAGTTTTTGTTGTTGCTTTTAAGGAGCAAACGTTTTCTGTTTCTTCATAAGAGAAGAAATCTAAGATCATGAAAAGATAAATAGCCTGACTCAGAATGTAGATTAGAGAATGAGCATTAACTTTGTAAGGAGAATCAGAGACTTTTCAATATTTGGGATACTAGTATTTGTCTTTCCAACTCCCAAGTTGCATATGTAATTTGTTGTTGTTAAATGTCATCAAATTGGTTCTGACTCATAGCGACTCTGTATAGGGTTTTCAAGGAGTGGCTGGTGAGTTTGAATCGACAACCTTGTGATTCAAACCGACTTTGTGGTCCAGTGCTTTATTCCACAGTGCCGCACTAGGACTCTGTATATGTATTTAATTCAATGATAGGATTAATTATCTTGGCAGAATTTAATCTCTACCTTCATGTTTAGAACAGCAAGCAGAGAGACATTTTAAACTTTACAAAAAGAAGAGAAAACCTCTCCTGGCAAATAAGAGCCTTGAAAAATTAGATATGAGCACTAGTCAAGTATTCTTTCTTTTCAAAAATATTAAAATTGCATATTAGAATGGAAGGATCTATATACTATGCTGTCTCCTAATGGCACAAAAATAAGACTTTAGGAATAATTTCAGAGACAAAAGATTATATGAAACATCCAGCTCTTCCCCTTATGGGAAATTTCTTTTTTTTTTAACATCCCATTCTCAATCATTTCCTAATGTGAAATTACAGATTTTTCACATTACTATATAAACCTGCAAAAAAATTACACTTGTGACCACAGAAGAGATAGCATATACTATCAATTTGATTTTAAAAGGCATACATCTTTTATATTACCTGTCATTTTTATAATGCCTTTTACAAATTTAATCAATACATTTTAACATTCTATATACTTTAAGTGCAATATACAATAAATATTCAAGTTTCATCTTAAACATGCTTTAGCCTTTAAATTGTTAAAACTGCAGTGCCCTTTCAATCTACTTACATAATGTCATAAAATATACATTTCAAGGTAAATGAAGTCAGTTACTTCAATTTAGTCCCTCAAACTGGTAGTAAATGAGAGGTTAACACTATGGTGCCAAACCCATTATTGAGTAAATTTAGCACCTTGGACAGCTCTGTAAAATCTTTATTGCTTTCCTGACCTGCTCGTCATGTTCTGTCTGTGTGTTCAGTGGCTCTCAGCTCTGATTGAAAGGCAATATATTAGATCCCCAACACAAACACGCTTGGGGGCTAGTTCGCTGGGAACGTAATGACATGGAGGTGAGAGTAATTTTCTGGTCACCGAAATCCAAGCACCTTGCAGGTCCATTGCACTAACTCATAGAGGACCTAGAAATTTCCTTTCTCCTTCCCATTTTCAGAAATAACTAATAGAAGCTGAATCACATTGGCAAACCTGAACCAATTTGGGTTCTCCCTTAAACCCCAATGGTGATCCTGCAGCAAAGGGCATTTTTAAATGGACTACATATCACTTACTGGCATAACTTCAGGACAAAAAACATCCAGGCTCATGCTCTTCCAGACTATAGGTCCGAACCAAGGCTCTGTTGATGACCTACTTCTGAAAATATATTGAATGGAAAAGCGTGCCCAGTATCATGGATCAAAGAAGAATACTACTTTAGAAAATAAGACTCCTATATTTCATTTTCAAAGGACTGAAAGGTGACAAGAACTCTGGGTATTGAAATAAGGAGAAAAGAAGCAAGTGGATTGTAGCATTGAAAAATCTGATCACCAAAACTTTGTGACTTTTAAATATATATATATCCTGGCAGTCAGAATGTTTCTAAGGCATGCTGCAACTTCAAAGATCTTGGAATTTATGTTGAACTTTTCTGGTGTTATGAAATTAATTAAAACTGGAAGCACCGCTCTCTAAGTACCCAATTATGGAATTATAAGAATGGGGATTGCAAATCTACTTCCTTAGCTGCTTCTCATCATGCTTTTGACAAACAGTAGACTTTTTTTTCCTCCTAAAAGAAAAAGAAAAACTTTTTTGCTAAGTCCAAACACTGGCATAAGTATTTACTTGAAAGAAATAAATGAACATACACCCAAAGGAATCAAATCCTAGTAAACAAGTTAACTCAGTCCTGTTTTGTTTTCACCTTTCCTAAGAGCCAGATAAGGTCGTGAGGTTTTACTGAAAGCAACAGAAGCTGAATTTGATCTGGGGATAGGGTTCAGTGTGCCTATAATGTAGTGAATTATTAACTGCTGTGGTCAGACAATACTGCAAATAAAAATTGGTAAATCATCTCGTAGCTTACCTTAAAAAAAATAAACAAATGATTCTGAATGTATTGATTTAAACTGCATTGATTACATAATGTTTTTTGCTCCCTGTATGGAAAGGAACAGAATTGTTTTATGGAGGGGGGGTCTAGCAGCTTACGGAAAGCATAAATGTTTATTGAGAACTCAAAACCCCTTTCTCTCATTTTTGAATTTAGGGCATTATATATGTCATAAGTAGTTACCGTAGTATGACAACTATTTTATCTTATATTATAGAGAATTTAAAATTGAAAAATGCTAATATGTATCTAAAAGCTTGTCATTTCCAGAGTTGTTCAAGGATTTTTGAAGAGGCTATGGTGACAGCAAAATGAATGCAATTATATTCCTATTTTCTGATCAGAGTCTGCAGTATATGAAAAATGAACAGCACCGCTTCTCTATGCAGAAATCTATTGTGTAAAATATTTAAAGTTAAACTTCTTCTTGAAACTTTACCCACAGCAGAAAATGTAAACGTATCTTCTTGCAAATCACTGCTGATAATCATAGTCTGCCTTTCCAGGTAGCTTTCTGATCAAGCCCCATCTTACATCTATCGAGCTTACGTTTGCTTTTCTTTTTTATATTCTCCTGTATAAATGAACTTGCAGAAAATTAGGGCAGAATGAAGAGAGTGTGATTTTTTTTGGTTCAAATGAAGAAAGAGTTGACTATCCCACACACTTTTTCAGAATACCCTTTATTCTTAGAAACAAGCTTGTAAGCTAAATATGGAATCCCACCAAAATGAACAGAGGGAGATATTTTTTTTCTTCAATTGAAATGAGCATCTATCTTGGATGAGAATGAATGAGCAAATAGGAAAAATGACAAATAATACTGAAATAGCAAAGAATTCCTATAAAAGAAACAGACTCTGTCAGTCATGAAAATTGGTGCCGAGGGGGCTTCTGGGGACTGGAGAATCCTTTTGTCAGAGCCTTTGATGAGCAGCGCATTGCCTCACTGTGTGGGTTTACTATATAACACCCTGGTATTGTGGTTCTGCCACACAAGGGAAATAAACAAAGGAAGTTTAATGCTACATGCTTCTAGTAGCTGAAGATTGATTGGAAATCCCTCGAAAATGACCTGTCTGATAAGGTCATGGTTCCTGAAATAAGCAATTAAGTGCAAAATAAACACATCTTAGGGATTCATAACATGCACTGAATGACATCGATTGTAGTAATCTAGTAAATGACCTCGGAATTGTATTCAGCAATAAACATATGAGTGCTTTATCGTGCCTATGGCAGACTATCGAGTGATGTATTTTATCTTGCAGGACCAATGATGCTCACCTTTGACTCGATTAAGTGTGTATGTGAACAGGGATAAATTGGTGATTTAACACCATTCTGGGGGTTCCCCAAGCTACTGCTTTTGAAGTAGTGCCTTGGCAATGTATGGTCAGAGGGAACTGGGACTTGATCATATGAAAAGATAGCAACAACCTGTCTTCCTTCACTCAGAGGCGTGTATTTGCTTTTCTCTTGGCAGGAAGTAATACTCAAAAGGGCTGCAGACCTGGTGGAAGCACTCTATGGGATGCCACACAACAACCAGGTGAGCAGGCAGGGTCTCTAACCTGTGTGTGCTCCCACATTCAGCTGAAGAGCTCAGGTTCCTTACTGCAGTGAGAAAGTCTGAAAAAATATAAAGACCACATGAGTTAAAAGGATAAGTGATTCAGATGTAACATGTTGTAAGACTATTCAATTATTCTCTCTTCTTTTGTAAATCTTTTATTGCCTTCCCCACCGAATCATTTCCTTACAAGAAAAAGTATTCCCTTTAAAACTGATCTTTAGTGGGAATGTACTTCATAATTGAGGAAGAGAGTTACTGTTGCTTCATTTTATTTCTCTCAGCTTTTCCAGCAAATTTAGGAGAAAGAGGATTTAATTTCTTCTAAAATGTATAATGAGGATCGAATAGTACTAACTGCTCTGTTTCACAGAGCAACTCTAAGTATATGACTCCGATTGCTTAGCAACTTGTGGGTCTGGAAAATCATTCATTCCTTTTTCATCGTACCTGAATCATTTGTCCAGGGTACACGGTCCCACTCTATTCAAGGAGACAGAGAGCCATCTGCAACTCGTTCTCAAATTCAGCAGGGGAATCAGTGTCTTCTCTGTCTCTCTACAAACCCCAGAGTTCCTGTGTTATTGGTAGGGAGAAAACCTCAATGATGCTGTCTTATAATGTGAGGAAGTACGCAAGAATGGTTAACCTATGGTCTTTCAAGGTCAAAACTATGGGATTGTGAATCCTGGCTCTGAGACTGTCCTGATAGGAGAGTGTCCTGAGTGAGGGTCCTTACCTCTCTGAGCCTCAGTTCACTCATTTGTGATATGCATGTGATGCTGACGATGAGACTCACTTTGGGGAGGGTTACGGACATTGTTGATGCAGTTGAAAGCATGGGAAGCCTCGAGCGCCATGGCCAGCAGGTAAAAAGCACTCAGAAAATGGTGTCGTTGAGATTATGACTGGGGATATCTAATGGGAAGAGTTCTGGTGTGGCACTGTGGGCTAATGCATCAGACTGCAAAGCCGTTTGAACTGCAAGGTTGGCAGTTCAAACTCACCAGCTGCTCCTTAGAAACCCTATACAGGGTCACTATGGGATGGAATTGACTCAATGGCACTCAACAACAGCAACATCTAATGGGAAGGTTCTGTTTCCTTTTCAGGAAATTATTCTGAAGAGAGCGGCAGACATTGCAGAGGCTCTGTACAGTGTACCCCGCAACCACAACCAGCTGCCGGCCCTGGCTAACACCTCGGTCCACGCAGGAATGATGGGTGTGAACTCCTTCAGTGGGCAACTGGCCGTGAATGTTTCTGAGGCATCACAAGCCACCAATCAGGGTCAGGAGCCCACTCCTCTCCTTTCTCTTGCTTTCCCTGCCCCTTCCAAACCTTGAGCTCTCTCTCTCCCTTCTCGTATTTCACATGAAACCATTTTCATTACAAAACATTCAGATTTACATGGAAGGAGATTCCTAACTGGTCTGTATCAAATATTATTGTGGAATTTGAGATCTAGCTCTCACGCCTGGTAGTCTGGCATAGGGGACAAGAAGGGATGGGTGCATTTAGCCATCTATACATTTGACTTTTGCCATAAACCACGAGTGACAGAGCACAAAAAGGGTTGGAATTAAAGTTCCAACAAGCCAAAACACATCATAGTCTCCCAGGGAATAGAAACCTGTTAACTCCAGGGTACATCTCTTAGATTGGGATCTATTTCTCCTCCAAAATGATAATTTATAGGCCCTGCATTGCCACTTCCCATGGCCCTGCTAAGTATTTATGGTCTCCTATGAAATGTGTCTTTTGCTTGCTTCCCATTTTAATCACAGAGCTTGTACCACCAATCCACACACATGAATCACCAGACCCCTTCCCTCTAGTTTGTGGTAGGGGTCAGGAAACAGAGATCCCACTTGCCCAAGAGTCTTCTAGGTTTGCCACCCATTTGACCCCCTCCCTCTTTCCCCGTTTTGCCCCCCACCCCTTAGGTTTCACTCGCAACTCCAGCAGCGTGTCGCCACATGGGTACGTGCCGAGCACCACCCCCCAGCAGACCAACTATAACTCCGTCACCACAAGCATGAACGGATACGGCACTGCCGCCATGTCCAATCTGGGTGGCTCCCCAACCTTCCTCAATGGCTCAGCTGCCAACTCACCCTATGCCAGTAAGTAGAGATGTGTGTCTGGCGTTTCTGCACGTTTTCACTAGAAGGACTCAGCATCCTCTTGTGGGGCCCACTGTGTTGCTCTCTGTAACCTAAGAGTCCTAGCTGCTAGGCACCAACCCAGGTGATGCTGTTAAGGGCATCTTTGCCTCCAACAAGAACCTCTCTGCTCTTTCTTGCTGACCTTCCTCCCCTTAGACTTTCTAACAGGAAGAACTTTGCTATTACCAAAAACAGGGATTTGAACTAGTTTAGTCATGGCTGTCAAAACGAAACCAGGGCAGACCCAAATTTGCAAAATGTGGGTGAACCAGAGTGATAGCCAGAACGAGAAAAACAATGGATCAGCATTCTGCTAGAAAGTTAATCTCCCTCTTAAAAAATAAGGGCAGCTTGTGAGATGCATAACAACCAAATCTGACCATCAGAGCCAGAAATGATGGTATTGCTCTGCACAGTTCTAGCATAATCCTGTCTCCCACACCAGTCTCCTGAAGGTGCACAGTATGCCTCTTCTGAGTCTCCCATCCCAGGTGTCCACCTGCAATTTCCCCCATTCTAGTTAGGTGTGGCGCTGTGGGTTAATAATGCTCCAGATTGCAAAGCTGTTTGAACTGCAAGGTCGGCGGTTCAAGCTCACCAGCTGCTCCCCGGAAACCCTATACAGGGTTGCTATGGGTCGTTACTGACTCGACGGCACTTCACAACAACAACAACAGTTATCATTATAAGGAGCTTTGGTGGCATAGTGGTTATGAGTCGCACTGCTATCCTCAAGAGCAGTGTTTCCATGGCAGAAAGATAAGGCTTTCTGCTCCGGTAAAGATTTACAGCCTCGGAAACACTGTGCAGGGTTGCTATGAGTTGGATTCGACTCCACGGCACATAACCACCACCAGTTATCATTATACTTCATCCAGATTTTAAAAATTCCGTTGCATTCCAATTTCACTTCATTGGCCACAACAGAACTGGTTTGGACTGGTTCACAGCCCTGACCCAATGCAGGAACCCAAACTTCAAGTCAGATAGAGAAGGGTTTCATTCCTGCTTCTAGTTACTAGTAGTGGGATTGGACAAATTCATCTTTCCAAATCTCAGTTTTCTCATCTGTAAGATGGTGGTGATGCAACTAACATACATCCCATAGAGCCATTTTGAGATTTAAATAATGTAGTGCATATAATGAACTTTTCCTGATGTCTGTCCTATGAGGTATATTCAATAAATCCAAATAGTAATCAGAATGATGGTAATGATGGTAACAAGTACTGATGATATTACCCCTGTCTAAAACTTAAAAATTGTCTCCCTTTAGGACTATGATTCCTTTAAGTTTTTGAATGCTTAGATTTTTTTCTCCTTTATGTTTGATGTGTACTTAAACAAACAAGCAAACAAACAAAACAAATTATAAATTTTTTTTCCAGAAACTTGGCAAGATTAAAAAAAAAAAAGTAAGAAACAAGAAATGTTCCTTGATATCTTGTTCCTATCCTGAAGAAGCTTATCTTAAAGGATTTTCTGGTTCAAGGTTTAAGTTGCATCTGAAGAGCCTCAATGAGTTGGCATCTTTAAATGTGAAATATCATGGGCTTGTGTCTACAAAATTTCTTGATCTCCCTCAGAAAACTTTTCATAAATAACTAGCTTCATTTTGGATAGTATGGACGGCTGTTCTGATGTATAAAATGCGGTCCAACTCCTAGACATTTGTAGAAGCTATGATAAAAGATATGCTGTTAAATGCACTAAAATACTACCAATAATGCAGTCTCTCATGCTGCAGATGTGTGGCGCCTGCTAATCATTTGAAAAGGAAAAGTTGATTTTTAGACTGTAACAGAAGTTATTCCTAAAGTATATGTAGAGGCCTTACGTATCTGGATGAATTCTACACTCAGCATACACTAAATTCTATATTCCTGCGTGTGGAACATTAAAAATTCTCTCCCAGATAATCTGCATACATTGTCTGCTCCAGAATCAGTATCAGGGATCAGTTTTGCATTAGATTATGATTCATCAAAGGATTGTTTCTCCTATATCTATCATTTCAGCATTCCCCAATCCACTCAATCAGAAAATGTTTCAATCATGACCTGAAAATTAAAAGGTGGCATTCTTAATTAAATCAATAAACTAATTGCTATATGGTAGCAATTCAATTTAGGGGCTTGGATTGTTCTGTCTTCCCAAGCCCGGGCAGACACCAGGTGACTTCAGCCTGAGATTGCATCTGTCAGACTGTGAAACTCCCAACATTTAATTTCCATTAATTGATTTCCTTAGTGCTCACGAATCTAGTATTAAATTCTCAAATAGGCTCTCAGATGGGATGGTTTTATCTGCATAAATGCAAATAAAACAATAAACACAAAGCTCAGCTGATTTGAATTTTTGCCTCTGTAATATTTAATTATTCATAAACCACTCATGTTGAAAAATTCCAAACAGAATAAAAAATAAAATAAGACATTCCATTGGTGAACACACTTTCTGGTGTGGTGGCTGATAACTAATAATGTTATAACAAATGGAGTGGCTTGCCTGTATTTCACCCCTTCCTCTGTTAACCACCTCCCCACAAGCTCCCCACCTCTAAATACACATAATGATCACATTTGCCAAGGAGATTAATTGCCTTCCTCAGTGAACCAGCAGGATTTCAAGTCTACGAATATTTAAAAATCAAACCTCCAGTGCCTGAGTTTTGCAATTTAAATGGGTGTTATTATTGAGCGTATTTTCACATTTACAAATCCTAAGAGATATATAAAAATGCTGGCCTCATTAAAAGAAAAAGTACAGTTTAGAGAATGTTTGTGAAAACTCTGAGGATGGTGGCCCTGAGTTCTGCTCCATAAAGCATTTGATGCCTTTGGATTATGCTGTGCTGGGGGTTGATTACAAGGGGTCATTTCTCCCTTATGGCAATTGCTGCCTGTGACCTATCTGAGTCCCACTTCTGTAACTTTCCTAAGGGTAAGGCCATCTAAGCAGCTCTTTGGGCTCTGATGGGCTTAAGGAAAGAGGTCCTTTTCCCCTGGAGATCTTTCTTTCCTTCGCAAGGAGATGGAGTAGAAAGAGCACTGAATTTGGGGTTGAGTTCTGGCTTCCCCCACATTATTGCTATGGGTCTTGAGCAAGCCACAAAGCCATTTGCTGCAGCTCAGCTAGCTCAGTTTGCTCAGATGTAAAAAGGTTGTTATACATCCTGGCTCCAGGTGATTGTGCCAATGGTATAGAATGAAAAACAAAAACAAAACCAAACAAAACAGCAAGATGCTTATGAATGTCCAAGCATCATGTATTGTTGATTAAACTGGGTGAAAATTAATAAAGCAGAAATAAGTGTACTCGATTTGAATTAAGTGGCTAAAAATCATCTGTTTGCATACTTTCCTTTAGGAGATGTAGTAATCAGAAAGCAAGTTTATGGAAACACTAGTTTTGAGTATAGAAGACTTTGTATGTACAAAAAGCACTGCCTCCTAAAATTAGTGGTTATCAGCCAGTACTGAAACTTAAAGAAGTCCCTTTGTGGTGCAAATAATTAATGTGCTCAGCTGCTTACCATGAGGTTGGAGGTTCAGGTCTACCCATAGATGCCCCAGAAGTAAAGACTAGTGATGTGTTTCTGAGAAATCAGCCATTGAAAACCCTATGGAGTATACATTGAGTCAGAGTTAACTCAGTAGCATCTGGTTAACTTAACGATGAATAGCCAGGCTGCGTACAGTGCTCAGTAGAGCATGGGCACCTACCAAACTCCTCCGTGTCCTCCTGGAGTTAGTTCCTCTCCCTCTGATTTGACCAGTTTCTCCCACCATTGATTATCCACATTCCTGCTAACACTAGACTGTGAGTATTTGCACGAGGCTCCTGTCCTACCATTTTCTAATCTACACACATTTGTGTCTGTGGGACAGAAAGAATTTGAACCTTTGATTGGAGTTCATTTTTCATGAGTGCTTCACATTGCAGTGTATCCACCTAGCTTCCTACCTAGCTTGGTGTCTATTGTGGAGCCACACAGCACAACCAGATTGTTAAGAAACTCATAGTGTGGTGCAGAGCACCCGGATGAACACACTCACACACACTCAGGCAGCTACTGGCCCATTCAGTTAGAGTCCTTCAGCTCATCTTCCTGTCATCTCATTCCATCCGTGAGCTCACCCTCTCAAGCTGGTCTCCTCCTGTCTCTTCTGTACCCAACCCTTAGTTTAGACCCTACCTGGAGTGCTTCTCAATCTTCCTCTGAGAAGCTTTCTCTTACCACCAACACATCTTTCCTTCCATACCTCTACTGAGTTGGCCTCACTTACCTTTGTCTCTGAGCCCCGGTGGCACAGTGGGTTAAGTGTTAGGCTGCTAACTACAAGGTGTGTTATTCAAACCTACCAGCTGCTCCATGGGAGAAATACGAGGCTGTCTACTTTGGACGGAACTGACTCAAAGGCACTTAACAACAACTGCCATAAAAATGTACAGTCTCAGAACCCCTATAGAGCAGTTCTACTTTGTCCTGTGGGGTTACTATGCATTGGAATGGAGTCAGTGTCTTTGAGTCTTTCAAGTCCCTTGTAAGAACATACTGCATCTTTGTTTCATGGCCTGGGGCATCCCAGTGCCTAGCACACTACCTGGCACATAGTAAACCAGTTGCTGTCAAATCAGTTCAAACTCATGGTTATAATTGTGTGAGTCAGAGAACTGTACTCCATAGGATTTTCACCTGCTGAGGTTTTGAAAGCAGATTGTTGTTGTTGTTGTTGTTAAATGACATTGAGTTGGTTCTGACTCATAGCAATCTGGTGTATAGGGTTTCTGAGGAGCAGCTGGTAAGTTCGAACCACCAACCATGTGGTTCAAACTGACTGTGAGGTCGAGTGCTGATCCTATGGTACCAAACCAGGACCAGATCTTTTTTTCTGAGGCACCTCTGGGTGGAGTGAATGGTTAACAAACTTTCCTGCTAACTGAAGGGCACATCACCTAAAAGATCACTAACAGGTGATGTAGCACATGCTGGTAACCAATGATGAAAGCTGACACTGTGCTGAGAGTTCAGGGTAGGCTCAGGCCAGAAGGGTGGTGGGGTCAGGGTCAGGGTCAGAGCTGGGCTACCTATCTCAGAACAACAGGAGAGGCACTGAGCTGACTTCTCTTTTCCCATTGCTCCTTCCAGTTGTGCCATCCAGCCCCACCATGGCCTCCTCCACAAGCCTCCCCTCCAACTGCAGCAGCTCCTCTGGCATCTTCTCCTTCTCACCAGCCAATATGGTCTCCGCTGTGAAACAGAAGAGTGCTTTTGCGCCAGTTGTCAGACCCCAGACTTCCCCACCTCCCACCTGCACCAGCACCAATGGGAACAGCCTGCAAGGTAAGCCTCAGGCCCCACTCACTAATCTCCCTCCCAGAGTCCAGCACAAGTGTGTTACTGTGGCCAGAGCAGAGCTGCCTGCGTGCTCCTTCTTCTGTCTGCCTGCCTCTCTTCTGCTCCTTTGTGTTCACTATCCTTTCCCCTAGCCCCTGGCCTGGTGCCTCCCTTCTGTGCAAGAGTTGCCTGACCAGCTTTCTTTCTAGCTCCAGCAATTCTGCTTACGTGAGAGGCAGCTGCCCTCAAAAGCAGTCTGGGGATTTGCTTGAGAATGCTATTTCCATTGACTAATGCCACCATTTCTCTTCTCTCCTCTCTCATTCCCTGTTGTCGCCATTATCAGACCAGTCTTTTGTGGACTCTAGCAAGTTCTCCACTTCAGGGTCTCTCGCAGGACTGGCTTTCTCCTGAAGTAGGTCACTCATCCTTCCCTTCCTGTTGCCTGTGTCCAAGTGAATGCGCGTGTGGGCTGGGGAGAGGGTGAGTCCATCTGAGTTCTGAGAGGAAAGCACCGTAGACCAAAATCCAGAACTTCACTGATGAAAAATCAAATACCCCAAAATGCTACTAGAGCATTCTGGGTCATATTAAAATGTTTTATATCCTTCCCACCATAATAAATCAAAAGTCGTGGAGACAACCTCTCAATTTGAAGGGGAAAAAAATGAAACAAAACAACAACCCACCTTTCAAAAATTGAGTCTGTTATTATGAATGTTTTTCGTATGTGCTTGGCACCATGCTATGGTATTTACATGCACAACCACATTCATTCCCTAGAGCTGACTGTGTGATAGATACTCAGAGCCCCCATTTTACAGACAAAGAAGCTAAAGGTTAGAAAGGTGACAAAATTGTTTGACTTCTAGCAGCTGGTATGTGGCAGAAGCTGGCCTCAAGCTCAGCCTTACAAATTCATGTCCTTCCATCTTCCAAGTACTTTATCCCTCAGAGGGTATAAAAAAGACAAGTCTAGGATTCCCAAGAAAGCTGATGGGGGGAAATAAGATCAGTGAGGCATTCAGCTGCCATTTGTCGAGCCCTGAATGATATCAGGCATTGTGCTAAGCACTGGACATGCTTTATTGTATTTAATCCTCACAACTTCCTGATGCTGCGTAAGAATTATTATGATCTCCATGCTTGTGTTGGTAGAACTCAAGTGTAGAACCAGTCAATAGCTGCTCACAGACGTAGCTGGCAAGTGGTAGCGATGGCTGCAAACCCCAGCAGAGTCTGAACCCTTAGTCCCTGTGCTATATGACTCCCCAGGGTACCTTCCCACCATGAAGGTCAGGGACGGAGCCAGAAGAGCAGACCTCCTCAGTCCTGTTTCTTATGTGCAAGGACACATGTATTTACAGGGTATGGTGCTGCAGGATAATTCACTAGACTGCAAGTTCGGTTTGAATCGCAAGGTCAGCGGTTCAAATCCACAAGCACTCCTAGGAAACCCTCGGGTCACTGTGAGTTGGAGCTGACTCAATGGCACTTAAAAACAGCAACAAGCATTTTCAAGGAGCCCTTGTGGGAACTGTAGGGTAAGCACTGGACTACGAATCAAAACGTTAGTGGTTCAAGCCCACTAGCAACTCTGAGCGAGAAAGACCTGCCTTATATAGGGTCACTATGAGTCAGTAGCATTCTCAGCACCGTTTCTTATGTGTGAGGGCATGCATAGTCACACATACACACGTATTCTCTGCTACACACAATCAAATGCATCAATGATCTCATTTGATTTTTCTGGCAACCCCATGAGGTCAATCCTATTTCCATTGTATAGAGGGAGCAGTTGAGGCTCAGTTTGACCAAGATCGCACATCTAGGGAGGGGTGTGGCCAGAGTTCACTGCATGTGACTCCACCCTGTGACTCCTAATGGCTGCATCCTCCTGTCTTTCCAAAGGCTCTTCCAACCTTCTTCAGAAAACCGCTAGCAGGTCTGCCCAACACAGCTAAATGACAGCGCCCCACATAACTTCTTATTCATGCCCCTCAATAACTAGTCACAGCCATTGAGTTGATTCCAACCTATAATAACTGTATGGGAAAGAGTTGAACTACATCTTAGGTTTCTGAGACTCTAAATCTTTATAGGAATGGACAGCTTCATCTTTCTCCTATAGAGCAGCTGGTGGATTAGAACTGCTGACCTTGCAGTTAGCAACCCAACACTTAACTCAGTGTGCCACTAGAACCCTTTTCCTCACTGGCACACACTGGCAAATCCATCTTCTTAGAAGAAAGGAAAATGGCCTCACCATAGAACATGTCAGTCAGGCAGTATACTTTGGTGATAGGAAATGCCCAGCGCACAGATGGAGCTGCTCATTCCTGCAAGTCTAACTCTTTTTCAGCTAAAAAATACCACCTGACATCCTTCAAGTACCCCTCCATCCAGAAAACAGCCCCCCCCCCAAATAAGCCTATTGCTATTAAAATGATTCCAACACATGGTGATGTGCTAGAACAGAGCAGAACTACCTCATAATGTTTCCGAGGCTGCACATCATCATGGAAGCACATTGCCACATCTTTCTCCTAAGAAGTGGCAGGTGGGTAAAAACCTTTCAGTTAGCAGTTGAGTCTCAGCCACTTTGCCACCAGGGACCCTTGTAGTCAACAACTAGGGATATAATGCTTGAGTGAACATGACATTCATACTTGTATGAGCCATTTAAATAATGATAAAACATATGGAAAACCAATATCTTCCATACTTGTACTGCCAGCTCTAACCCTTTTAAAACATAGATTTGGCATCAACAACAAAATATCATAGGGTACTAAAGCAACAGTGGAGTCGTGACACAGGAGAAGACGGTCCACTGCTATTTACCGGTTGTTAGCTCTAGCCAAAAACGAGCCCTCTTGACACTGAGTTAGCCACTAGGCTGCTAACCACAAGGTCTTCAAGTTCAAAGTCACCAGCCATTCTGCAGAAGTCACATGTTGCTGTCTGCTCCTGTAAAGATTTACAGCCTTGGAAACCAGACATAGGGTTGCAGTGGGTTTAATTTGGATAGCTCTATCCCAAAGAGCCATGGCAGTGAAGTGGGTTAAGGGTTGGGCTGCTAAGCAGAAGCTCATTGGTTTGAACCTACCAGCTGCTCCACAGAGAACAATGAGGCCATTTGTTTTGTAAAGATTTATAGTCTTGGAAACCTATGAGCAGTTCCATTCTATCCAATACAGTCACTGTGAGTCAGAATCAACTCTAAGGCAGTTGGTTTCATTTTTGTTGTTGTTTTTTGAGTATATCTTCATGCCCTGTGGATCTAGGAGGTGTGCTGAAAGTACCATGAAATGGTTTTAAGGCAGGAACACCAACGAAGCTTGTGTATTTGTGACCCAACTTGTGTTTCTATACCCCAACTCTGGAATATTCAGGGACCTTCCCTCTTGTGATTAATGGCTGAGTCTCTGCCTCTCTATTACATTTCTAACACGTAGGCACAGAGCATAGAGAGTTTGAAGTCTTAACTCTGGGACACAATTTGTGCTGGATTTGTTCATTGTGCAGGGCACAGCCCTTATTTTCTGATTGAACAATTGCCAAGAAAATTCTTTCTGGACTCCCCCTTCCCCCATGCCCTGCTTGTGGAACTTGGGGGCCGGGCAGGGTTAGCTCTTGTTACTGTGGCATTCCCATAGAACGGATAGGGGCTAGCAGTGGGTGATAGAGCTATCAGTAGAGAAATTGGAGTCAAATTTAACTGACAGCATCTTACTTTAAGGAATCCTTGGGTGGTGCCTTGGAAGAAACTCCTGGTAATCTGTTTTTGAAAAAATCAGCCATTGAAAACCCTGTGCAGCAAAGTTCTCCTCTGACACACATGGGGTTGCCATCAGTTGGAATCAACTTCATGGCAACTAGTTTGCTTTTTGGTATCTTATTTTGCTTCCTGCTTTCCACACCATACCCAGCCACCACTACTCTCCCAGGCAGGGCACATACACACACACACAAGACTGCATGTTAACCCTCTACACACATCCTTAACAGGCTGGGGAAGATCATCTGAGTAGCCAACACCACTTTTTTAGAGGGCTTCTACTAAGAACCTTGGAGCATCCCATAAGAAAAGTAGCATTCTGACAATGGGCTCATAGAGCTACAACTAAAGAATCACATCATCTTTAATTTTTTAAAGGGCACTTCTACCACCAAAAAGCATGTTAGTGGATCTAGCATAGGAGTAAGGGTCTCGGAAATATTTTACTTCCCCTCCTCCATCAACTCGATGGCAGTGGGTTTGGTTTTGCTTTCTTCTTTTCAATGTTACAATAAGACCTAGTTCATTTGGACCCACCTCATTCAGAACTGTCATCATTAAGACAGGACAAGTAATGAAGAAGGAAATTTGTTAAACACATTGACCATGTAAACAAGATGACAGACGGCACATTAAGCTGTTAAAGTATTCAAAAGCCTTATTTACCTACTACTTGGTGTGGCACTGTGGGTTAATGCACTGGACTGCAAAGTCAGTTTGAACCACAAGGTCGGTGCTTATAGTTCACCAGCTACTCCTCTGAAACCCTATGTAGGGTTTCTATGGGTCAGAGCCGACTTGACGGCATGTAACACCACCATTCTGTTGTGAGTCCTGGTGAGACCCCATAGGATAAGCACCAGACTGCAAGGTTGGTTTGAACCACAATATCATTACTTCAGATTCATCAGCTGCTCCTCGGAAGCCCTATCCAGGGTCACTATGAGTAGGACCTGACTCAATGGCACTTAACAACAACAACAACCCACTCTGTTACGTGTGCATCATTCTTTTTTTAAAGCAACTTCTCAGAGATCATTTCCCTCCTCAACCTCTTACAGTTTGGGTGTCTGGCTATCAGCACTTTGATCTTACCTGAGGTAACAGCAACCAACTGTGGTAGCTTCTTCCCTTCTCTGCCTTCTCTCATTGATTCCTCCCAATTATCCTTTTATGTAAGGAGTCCTGGTAGCATAGTGGGTTATGAATTGGTCAGCAGTTCAAA